ATGTGTGTATGTATGTATGTATGTATGTATGTATGTATGTATGTATGTATGTATGTATTTAGGTATGTATATACATACATATATATATATATATATATATATCAGTGACATATTTCAATGTTTTGTACTCAATAGGCACATCGCAACTGGTTATGGGTGCGCACGTGAGTATATGATATCAATATATCCATTCCACAAAATGCTGTGTCATATTTAGCTCCTGTACTGACAAGTGCACACTTTCATATCCCATATATTGTCACACAATTCAATGTCACACTAACCTGCCATTCCCTCCCACACACACGTGTGACCTGTCCGTAACCACGACAATGGCTAGTAGATGCCACACAGGCGAGTGAACAACCCCCAGCCCCAGAGCCCGTCAGTACTCAGCCAGATGAAAAAGAAAGTTCGGAACCAAAACAACTTTTGATGGACGAAGACGGCGAGCAATCTGCTGAGGGTATGTTCGTGTGAGAGATAGTGGGAAGTGTGGGATGTGTGGCTTATGGATGTTGCAGAATAGGTAGTGTCTCAAGTGTGTATATTCTGTACAAAAGAGTGTGCTACGTGTGTATGTTGTAATCAATGGAGTGTAGATTGGGTGTGTATTTTTGGGCACTTGTCATTTCCCGTTTTGTGTGTAGATTGGGTGTATTTTTGGGTACGTGTGTCAAATTCTGTAATGGATGTCCGTGCCATTCTACAGGTATAATTCAACGCACATGAATGAGTGATATATTGAGTATAGTTCACCTCTGTCTGTAAGCGAATGCCATTTCGCATTGTACGTAGAACGACCCAAATATGAACAAATTTGGAACTCCATGTGCGCAAATGTTTGTAGCTTGAGGTATCTACGTATGAAGTATATCTCCCTATCGCTTCTGGCGGATATTGGCACCATGTTATTGTCACTTCTACCACACATTCTCAATACCCCCCGGATTCATTCCCTAACACACACCCCCCCCCCTTCCCCTTTCTCACATTTTGTAAGATCCAGAGCCAAGCATGGAAACGAATTCGTTTGAGGATTTGGGTGAGGTCGACAGCTTCACAGAGCAAATCAACACAGATCATCACGCATCAGGAATTACGATTGCCTTGGATGGTGAGGTATGGAAGCCTAACTTCAACAATACATTTGTTGTTAGCCTGCTATGAATTGAAATTTGTATTCGACTATTGGAAAGCTAAGCCCCTAATATATACATATATATGTATATATATATATATATATTTATACAAATATATATATATATATATATATAATTATACATGTGCGAATATATATATATTTATATATTATTTAGCCATTGAAAAGCTCTATGAATATTGTTTCAAATATATTACTTCATAACTGACCACTTAAGAGTTTGCTATAGGGTTTTTATTTGGTTGAATATTTGTTACAGGGTTTTTGTGTGGCTTAAGGGTTGGTATAGGGTCTTGTTTGGGGTTCTGGGTTTCAATTGTTTGTATTGGTGGAAACGATGCTGGGCAGTTTACCTTCGGAATACATATGTATCCGATTATGGATATTCGGTGTGTATTTGCATTATAGTTATAACCAATCACAAAGCGTGTTCTATTTATATACTCGTATAGACCAATCACAATGCGTGTTCTATTTATATACTCGACTAGCCCATGATGGAAGACGACGAACCGTGGGAGGACGAGGGCGCATACGAGGAGCAGCCGTACATATTGGCGGATGTGTTATACGACTTTACGGGTGCAGATGAGACCGAATTGACTGTAATGGGTATGTATTGTATATTGGTTATATATGAAAGCTATGAGTCTGTGTGTGAAGGAGGGATTGAGAGAGACACACACTCACACTCACAGAGAGGAAGAGAGAGAGAGAGAGGGTGTGTGTGTGTGTGTGTATGTATGTATCTATACTGGTGGGGTTCACACGAGTTTGTATATGCCAGTGTAGTGGTGTATGTACTGCCGCGTGTCTATATACTTTTATGAAGTGGGAATGTACGTGGTGACGCAGTGCTACATCAATTTCCGCAAGCCACTAAAACCGAAACTGACTGTAACGAGTACGGGTATTGTTATACAGTGGTGCAAATATAAAAATATTGTATATATACTAAGGTATGGTATCGTATAGGCAGATACATGTCTACACAGTCATATACAAAGGTTGTAAATATGTGGTTGCGCTGCTGT